CTATCTAAAGACTATCTACAATAAATAGTTTGGTCATTGATATTGTTTTTAGTTGATTTCAGAAGGAATCTTCTCTTGTCTGCATTAGTCGTCATATGCTTTATATTATTTTTATGACAGGACAATGAACACCAATTAATCCCAGTATGTATTGATGACATCACTGAGCCACCGTTGGAGTTCACTAAAGTACCTATGTTAGACTATAGGAATATGAAAACTCAGGAAGATGTACAAGATTTATGTCACCAGGTTGTTGCTATGTTACAACATCCAGATACAATGAAGACAGAATTGTTAAAAAAACAATCCGTAATTGTAAGTATGTTTCTGAATTTATTCCTTTTTCGGACAATTTAATTTGACTTTGTAAATTAAATTCTTTATAACCATTTTTAGATGCGAATATATTCCAGCTTCAATGAAATACAATTCTCAATGACTATATTCTCTGTTCATGGTGTTGAGAATGACATATAAAGGAAATCGGTCAGTATGTGAAATTGACCCAAAATTGATTGTATAGAAAGGATACCATAAGTTAAAATTACAAATCTTATTATATATTTGTTGGCTCAGGCTGTTTTTTTTTCGGTCGTGGTTGGTCACTAAATTTGGCTGAATGAGTATGAGTATTAAATTCAAGTAGGTCTCCTCTGATAACATATTCACGCCCAATTAGAATGCAGCTTACTAAAAAGCAGATTGTAACACAGAATCTGATTGGTTACTTGCAGACCTGAACACAATTTGCATATAGTCAATTGGTTGTTAAAGATAATGTATGGTCATATTTTATAAACAACAAGAACCCCTAGCTATCCTATTTGAATTAAATTACTTGGTAAAAACTGAAAATGCTACTTACCTGTACTATTAAACAAACATTGTACTTTCAAGTTGAAAACATTGTATACTTCCATTCCAACATTACTTCACAATATGTTGTCTGACACTGAATCAATATGTTCCTTTCACTGTGAGATCTTGTGTTATGGCCGTGAAACTTAAAAACAAACAAAAACAAACAAACATATCCAATAATATCGTTGTAAACTGAGAAAAGACTTCTCAAGGTAGAGTGAACCAAATGAGTATTCATGGTCATCGAATCGGGAGGAGAATAACGCACTGGAGAGGAGCAATTGTAGCCAAGGTGTTTATTGCTCAACTGCTAGGCCTGGAATACTCACGAGATGTTCCATGACAATGTATTAATATCATTATGCAAATAACTAAACGTCGTAGCTACAAATCACTACAATCGTATACATATTTGATCTGATGAAGTAAAGGTATCCCAATGCCACGTTTCCCACTGAATCATTCACATTCCGTCATTGAGCTATAAAAATCAGATCATTCGATTTTTGGGGCAGACATACGATCTTCAACCTTCTCGCAGTCAACAGAAAATTGGTTGGTTTTATTTTCTGTAGGATATGTCTCTTACTGATATTGATCTACTGGCTGATGATTATCAACAACTTGACTTCTCAAGAAAGTATGGTAGTACTTCAAAAGCCTCTCTAAGACAGACGGCTTTGAGTTGCAAAATGCTGACAACAACAGAGAACGAAGATGACGGTGACAAACAGAAATGTGACATTGCAATAAGCTTTGCTGTGGCCGATATGAAATATGCGAGGTACTTGACCACTCTACTGAAGCAAAATGCACCGCAGTTGATTGTGAACGACACTATGTCATCTGACCACACCCAGATAAGTGTGTTGGAAACTGCCAACAAAGTTGTCTGTCTTCTCACTGCAAACTATATAGAATCACCAAGTCAGTGCGAGGAATTCCACATTGCTTTGTTCCGTCATCGAGCCAATCCAGCTTCACCGGTTCTTTTCCCAATACAGATATCTGCACTCCCGAAGAAACCAACGTATTTTCACTTGGTGCCGTACGAACTGAACTGCACCAGTCCGCTATGGAAGAAGATTATAGTAGAGATGGGTTTGACGGAGACGCTGGAAGAGTTTCGCAAAAACGTAGGTCGGACTCTAGCAGAGCGGGTGACCAAGGAAGAGGCTATGGCATTGTACAAGGGCACGGAAGCCATTTTGTTAACCATGAAAGCTGAAAGGTATGTCAGCTGCAAGTCGTAGGTTTCTTTTGGTATTCCGAAATGTCTCCGAATTATTGTCCTCAGCACTACATTATTAGTCCCCGTTCGGACGAAGTCCAAAAAGGGGCACTTATAATTCGGCCTCCGTGCGTCCGCCCAGAGTCATATCTCAGAATCCTTTGGACCGACTCCGTTCATTCTTTGCATGTGCCTAGTACTTTATGTGGAACATATGCACATGTAGTGGTTTAGCGATTCGATTCAAAATGGCCGACTGGCAGCCATCTTGTTTTTTGAAAATGCATATTTTTTACATGTTTTGTCAGTTTTCATTCCAATTTGGCACATACTTTATACATGTTAGGATACATGTCCAGAACAATTTGTTTCAAAATCGGATCAAGGATGGTCGATTGACAGCCATCTGAATTTTAGGCCTTGCTACTATATTCCCAAGATTTATGTACCATTTTCATTCGTATTTGGCACATACATCATACATGTCAGTTTGTTTCATAATCAGATCAAAGATGGCTGAATAACGGCTGTTTTTATTTTTGGCCATATTACTATATCTCTGTAACCCATGTATCATTTTCATTGATATTTCGCTTCTCATAAATGGATACATGTACATGTCAATTCAATTTGCAATTTGATCAAATATGACCAACTGGCGGCCATCTTGTTTGTTTAAAATGTGATAACTTGGACATGCTTTCACTTTTGATCTATGTTTTTCTTTGCTATGTCTTAAACCGGAGGGGTCGTCGCGTAACACGTGTTCGAATTTGATGTAAATAAATAATCTGTTGTATATGCCACTTGGGACTCAATTTTCAAGGACACGCATGCGACAACCCCTTCGCTTTAATATGACGAGCACAAAGAGACCTTTCAAAAATTTAACGGGGACTGTGTCATTTTCAATGACTTGTTTTCTTTGTGTTTTCAGTGAGAAATCTGCATCGTCTCATCTCACTCAAAGCATAATCTTACACAATATCCACTATATGAGATTCATGATTATGAAAATGAAGAACAGTGAATATACAGAAGATGTACAGCAGGTATTTAAGGACTATTTCTGGCTTAAACTATTTGATTCTACACAAATTTAGACATACAGTTAGAGTATTGGAGGACGTGAAGCAAATGTTGCTGTAACTTAACTTTTTTTTGTAACACATCTGCCATCTTGAAAATGTTGCATTTTCTAATAAGTTGGGGGACCCTGGATCATATCACAAAATAATGACATACTGTAAATTTGCTGACAATTATATTATAATTTATGGTAAATTATTCACCACATGCCTTCTGGTCAGTTTTCTATCAGAGACCTACTGGATAATTTCCCACCTATTTGTAAATACTTCGCCCTATGCCAACTGGTAAATTGTCTACTATACACCGAAAAGTCAATTCTCCTTCATATGCCTACTGGTAAATTTTCTATAATTTACCCGAGGGCCCATTTTTCTCCATATGCCTACTGGTCAATTGACTACTGTATGCCTACTAGTAAGTTTTCCAACACATGTCAGGAAGTTGTGTTTTCCACCATATTCCATCTGGTCTACTAATATTTTCTGTAATGTATCTTATGGTTAATTGGCTAAAATGGGCCTGAAGGTCAAAGCATATGTCTACTGGTCAATTTTCCAACATATGCCTACTGGTCAGTTTTCCAACATATGCCTACTGGTCAATTTTCCACAATATGCCTACTGGTGAATTTTCCACAATATGCCTATATACTGGTGAATTTTCCACAATATGCCTATATACTGGTGAATTTTCCACAATATGCCTACTGGTCAATTTTCCTCAATATGCCTACTGGTGAATTTTCCACAATATGCCTACTGGTCAATTTTCCACAATATGCCTACTGGTCAATTTCCCATCATATCGTGATTTTTTGTTTACACATCTAGTACCTGTATAAACTATCAGTCACTGAGGGAGAACCAAATGCTGCAACAAAACAGAAACAACCTGGAGTGAAAACAAAAACCAAAAACATATCACCAAAGAAGGATAAAACAACATCCTCTGGAAAAGTGGTACGCAAAAAATAATATCTTCTTATAATAAAGAAAGTGATGTCATTTGTAATGGTATGTTTCTAGTATAGTATCTTTCTACACTTGTGTGACTTTCTCTAGCATGAATGGATGAACGAATTAATGTCTAGAAAACTTACCCACAATAGATAACCATCACTATCTATATTTCCGCCTAAATCTTGTTTGTAACATATTGTTATTCCATATTGTTGTATATTTTTTTATTATTTTTTTTGTTAACTTTGGACCCGATGGATATAAGTTTTTGTTGGCTACATATCATTATGACATTTTTTGAAGAAAAAAATTATATGTTAAAATTTATTAAATTTATTTTCATGAAATATGACAAAAATTGAATAATAATACATTGCTCTGCTGTTCAAGTTTTCTGTTTACCTTGTCTTATGAAGTTTTTTTTTTAGCTCCGCTGTCGACTTTGTCGAGCGGAGCTTATCATATGAGTGATTGTCCGTCGTCATCGTCTGTAGTCGTCGTCCGTGTCAATGTTTTACTTTTTCGACTTCTTCTTGAAAACTACAAGCCTGAATGCTTTGATACTTGGTGTATATGTACCTTGGGTAGACCTCTCTCAGATTTGTTCATTTCATGATGATATCTTC